ACAACAAGATGATGTTACAAAGAAAACCTACCTCACAGAATCTACTAGTTTTTCTTCATGCAATGATATAGAGATTGAGTCAATTAGTTTACTTGCAAATGAAAATCAAGTGGGATGGTAGTGAAGAAGCTTGTATTTGTATTAGATTAGCTTCCTTTATAGCATAACCAAGGCAATGAGCTTGTTCTTGCACTAGTATGTTTGGCAAATTGGTAGTTATGTATATTTTGAAGTGCATGAACTAGTTCTAATTATTTTGCCTATAACATCAATTGAAGAATTCAATAGAGTTAATTTTTATGTTTCAAAACTTAATTAAACTTCAATTTAAATCATGTATCTAGAGTTCAATTCCTGTTCATTTTCTGTCTCTATAGAAGTTGATAATTCTGAAGATCTAGTTAAGCTCCCAACAAAGAAGCCAACATAACCATGACTTCTGAAAATTTTGGAGTAGAAAAAATTAGTTGTAGGGTTGCACCATTTCATTACCCTCAATAAGATGCTTGAACTTGCCAAGAAACTGAAAGCCGGGCATTAATTGGTGATGTACACAATTGACTTTGAAAATTCTCATGTAGAAAAAATCAATTGTGGGGTTGCATCAGTTTCATTCTTTTCAATAGGACCATAATCGACTACAATAGCCGGTGTTTTTGAACCTGCCAAGAATTGGAACCCAGTCATTATTTGGCGAACCACATTTACGTAATTGACTTTCAAAGTTCTCATGTAGAAAAAAACAATTCTAGGGTTGCACCACCTATTAGTATTAAACTGAGCAAAGACTTTCTCATCTCCGCTTGTCTTCCTTATGGCTAGAACAAGGCTCCTTATTGCAGCCCTTCTTCTTGACCTTTCTCATGAAAATTGCAGTGCCAAAGCAAGCCTTCAATGTCTAGCTTCTTCTTGTGGCGATATTATGAAGATTCATCATCCTTTCCAATTAAGCATTGATCCACCAAAATGTAGAGACCTAAAGTATAATCTATTTTGCTAGAAAAATGTCACAGTTTTGCACCTTAATTCAGGAAAATTCTATGTGTAGGAAATCGATTATAGTCACTCAATGATTAGAGTTATGGATCCTGTTGTTCATCAAGGTAACTGTTCCTCACTACCTCTCTATTCCCTTGGCATTGATAAGGTCTCAAGAGACAGTGATGCATATTACTTTCATCCTGGAGAAGCTCTTCTTTTTTTAAACTGTGGAAAACTAGTAAATGATATTCACCATGTGGATGCTTCCTCTTGCATTTGTGTTACTAATTCATCCAAGTCTAAAAAGGTATTATCATGCTAACATTGGAACAACAACAGCATTTGGATTAGAGAAGTCATGCCGGGTTGAGCTGATGGTTCTTTGTTCTTCAACAGGGATGAGTGATAGCAACATTACCTACCTAGATGTTCCCTATCGGTTATCATATGGACTTGGGCTTTGGTGGTTTCCCTACCCTTCTATATGGATTGGTACATATCGAACATATGTTGCCTGTTGATTAAAGACATGGAAATGCAACTCGCTAATTTTGGATCTTTTTTTTTTTTTCTAATGAACCATATGCAAATTCAATGTCTTGCTTCTCCCTAATTTTGGTTTCTACTTTCTGGTATATTTTGCAGTTTTGGTCATTCATTACACTTATTTATCCTGCACAGTACTCGTATTAGGTAATTAGAACCTTTCTCTTCTGGAGCTATTGTTTTTCATTTATCCATG